GTTGGTAGAAGTGCTTTCCCTATAGCTGCAACTTTTTAACTTTTATTTTATTGATCTTTTGTTTATTCTTCCTATTAAATGTTTTCTGGTTTGTTAGCTTCAGTGTAAAAAGATTTTATATATTTAACAATTCTTTGTTTATTTGAATATGAAATTTGCTAAAATTGCAAGCAATGGAAAAATAAAGCTTTGGTCAGGTAATTTCTCTGATGTTACGTCTCTATTCTTCTAACTTTCCAAGCCCTCTATTATGACTTCGAAAATATTTAAGATACCCACGAGTTATTCTAGTATAAGAAATTGTTGAGGCCGGGAAAACGGTTATTTTCTCTGATGTGAGTGCCTATGAGGTGAACTTGTGAACAAATGAGAAACATGTGTTCAAGCTTCATGTAGTTTTTTAGCTTTGCTACTTTGACATCAAGATTCAAAGATGCCGGAATTTTAATATAATATTCCTGTCTAGTTCTGTATACATACATAGTTCTTTTTTCGAGCAAATTTGTCTATTATGTATACATAAATGAACTTTTTTACAAATAGAACTGAATGAATAGATGCTGAAGAAGTTCATACATCACTTAACAAAGGTACGAAAAGTGGAGTAACTAACAATTCATGAGGTTTCTTAGCTTAGCCTTTTCCACCACAAGATTTACAACCGCCTTGATAAGCTTTTATATATTGCAGAGCCATGCATCCCAGTCCAGGGTTGATGTATAGGGAAGTTTATTTCGGCGCAGTCATACTCTTGTTGAGTGCTATACCAGCTCATTAGTAGGGTTACGTTGTCTGTCACTCTAGTAACTGCATTGCCATTTTGAACATTAGCAGAAGCCCAAGTGAAGAAAACAATATAGAGAAGAAAGCACTGGACCGACGCCATGTCGGAGCTTCTTAGAGAGCCACTGACCAGGATGTAAACTGTCAAGCATCTATCTTTAATCATAGCATATATTTATTGTGATACTAGTATGTACATGTAGTATTATTTTTGTTGCTTTTTGTTGTACCACGTGTATTACATTTTGTTGCATCGTGTTGCATTTTGTTGCATCTCGTTACTTTTTGTTGAATCATGTTTCTTATTAAGGAGTACTTCACATTATTTATCATTGATTCAAATTTATTACATTTATGATAGATAAATGTAATAAATTAAAATAATAGACCGAATTATGTATTTGTTGTGATACTGTTATATTTAGTAATATTTTTGTTTCATTTTGTTGTATCATACTTGTTGCTTTTTGTTGCATCGTGTTGTTAATTGTTGCATCATGTTGCATGTTGTTTATTATTGATTTTGTTTCATTTTGTTGCATTTTGTTTCATTTTGTTGCTTTTTATTGTGTTTAGCACTTATTGTTGTTTGTTGTTGATTTTTGTTGTGTATTTTAGATTTTATATATTTTTTTGGATTAAAAGCTAACAAGTGTATATATATATACACACACACACACACACACACATACATATAGTCGCCTAAAATGATAAATTTAGATTTATAAATATACACAAAACTTAGAAACATAAAGAAACAATAAAAAACAAAAAAAAAAATCATAATTATCAACAAAAAGAAACACATATAAACAATAGGCAAAAAAAACTAATAGTAGTAAAATAATAATAATAATTACAAAAATAAAGTGCTTTAAGAAATTTTAATTCAGAAATTCTTATTTTTAAATTTTCAAATTTTCAATATTTTTTCCAAGTTCATTGTTTTAATTTTTCATATTTGTATTCAAAGTTTATTTTAATTTTAATGTCTTTTAGGTTACATTAATTTTCCGTTTTTTTTAAAAAAAAATTAAATTTTCTTCACTATCTAATTAAAATTTATAATTACTTCTTCATATGTTTTAATATATATTTTACCTTATTTTACATTTTTCTGTATCTTTTAGGTCTTAGGGTTCCAAAGTATTTTTAAAAAATGATTTAATATTCGAATTTTCTTAAATTTTTCATAGTTTATAGTTTTACATAAATTACCATCTATTTGAAAAATTACCTCGACAAAAATTGTATTCCATTTCTTTTACAGTTTTGCCACATTTTAACTACTTCAAACTTTTTACATTTTTCTTTTCTATTTTTTATGAATATTTCGGATTTTTATTATTGAGATTTTGTTTAGTCGTTAGTTTTAAAAATAATTTTGGGTTTTAGATTTTACTTTTTCTAATTAATATAATCTTATTAATTAAAGAAGAATTTATACATTTTTTTATTTAAACCAAAAAAAAAGTGAATAACTGATGCATTTAACTCATGAACAAATGATGCATTCAAGAATCCGTTTGAACTTATACAATTTTTCTATTCAAAGCTCGTTATGAGTTAAAAGGTATAGTACACGTGCATTAGACGCTATGAAGAGTTGAGCTTCCGTATGTGGGTTTTATATAAGTAGCCTATTTGTGAAAAGAGATCCGTAGTTGGTCTATTTTTGAAAAAAGTTTAAAAAAATGAAAAAAGTGAAATTATTCTCAATTTTAGTCTATTCCTGAAAAATTCCCTTTTTTATTCTTAAATTCAATTAATTAGGCCTAATGATTAATTTTGTTGACAATTTGAAAATTTAAAACATAAATGAAGAGTCTTAAACAGAGACAAGTTTAAAACAAAATAAATACATTAATTTTTAGCAGGATCGGTTGTAGTTTTTAAAAACAATACAATTGTTGGTGCATAAATAAAAGACACATCTTTCTAGTTCTCACATCTTTTTAGCTTTTATGGTTTTTTATTCAATTTAATTATAACATAACAAATTCATATAATTATTTGAGAGCCCGTTTTTCTCAAATTTCACCCCATAAATAAAAGACATGTCTCTCTAATCCTCACATCTTTTTAGCTTTAAAGGTTTTTTATGCAATTTAATTATAACATATCAAATTCATATAATTATTTTAGAGCCCATTTTTCTCAAATTTCACCCCAATTATTCATTTGTTTCCAAATTTCAATAAGCTATATATGAGTTCCTGACAGTAGTTCCTCACCGTAAACTTTCTTTTGAAAGGATAAATGAAAAGAAAATTACTACATATTGAATTCATAAGTTGAGAATGATTTATTGACCGTTGATGAGTGTCTAAAGTTTGAAGTCTCGAAAGAGTGAAGATTTTCAAAGAGACAAAATGTTATATGTGGCAATTTTATTGTTTGTCATATTTTTTAGTGGAAAGAAGGTTGCCTATGAAGTAATTATTAACGATTTGCTTCACATTGGTCTACGAGAAACGTTTTTAAGTAATTTTTTTTATTCGATACTCGTGTTGTTACTTTTGCCCAAATATGTAACTTATACTCCGTATAATAATAAAGTGATTCTCATCTTTATTTTATGAACTTCATTGCCCAAATATGGTTTACTATTTATTATGGATATAGATCCAAAATAGTGTACCGCTCATAGGCCCAAAAATGGACAGAACCGGCCCTGGGACCACAACGAATAGTCGAACGAGTCCATAGTTGGAAGAGCCAATAGGGGTGATCCGCCCACCACCTAAACCTCCACCATGGATTCGAATTCCAAAGAGAGAGAATACTGAGAAGCAAATATAAGAGTGTTTGGGTAAAAGTGTAGAAATGCTTCTTGAAGAGACCACAACGAATCATCTCCCAAAAGCAGTTTTTTAGAAGCTGATGGAGACCGGTTTCTGAAACTGATTCTGATTCTACTAAAAGCATAATTGAACCCGTTTTTTTTCTTTAAAAGTAATAGAAGCAGAATCAACTCCAACCCCTGATCGGGCTAAACTTGCAACTGTACAAGTGCCGATATAGTAATAAATTCCGGTAAAATACCGGGTCAAATCCACAAGGAAATGTTGTTTAATTTAGTCCGTGAGTAGATAACTTTAAATGAAGAAATGAGTAAAGTGCAGGGATTTTGATTTGTGTTTTTTATATTTTTGGCTTTTCACTTTTTGTTTAAGAAGATAATCGTTAACTAACTTTGAGTTTAAGATGAATAATAACAATAACTAAGGCTTCAGGAATCACTTAAATGCTTTAATATGGTTGAATATTAGTTCTTTGCCAATAATTATGAATACGATATCGCTAATATATTCTCAACTCCGGTTAAGGCGGCGAGATTGTGGTTTTCGTTACGTGTAAGTCCCATTACGGTTTACATTCATCTACCAAAAACTCCGTTGAATATCAAGACATCACACAAGTATCATATAAGATCGGATATATTTCAATTATCGGTACTATATATGTTTATCCTTTAATGTTCACAGTGAAGATGAATAAGGAGAGTTGGAAAAAGTAATTTGTATTATTTCATGCATCTGAAGTGCCGAGTATTTGCATATATATATACACTATGAGGAGAGCTTATCTCATGACTATGTATAGGGTTGTAAACGAATCGAATAATTTTGATCCGATTCGCGATTCGAATTCGAAATTGATGATTCGAATTCGAAATATTCGAATACGAATTCGAATACGAATCAATTTTATTATTCGAATAAAATTCGAATACGAATACGAATATACATATATTCGATTCGTAAGTTATTCGAATATATTCGATTTGTATACTTACGAATTATATATATATATATTCTATTATATTTATAATTTTGAAATAATTCATATAATAGACATTTGTGAAAATCGAAAAATGCCTAAAATGAGTCATAATTTGAATAGGTGATTTTTTTTTTGAAACTTCAAATATTTGGATTGGAATTCAAATATTCGAATTCGAATTCGAATATTCGAATTCGAATTCGAATATTCGAATACGAATATACTCAAATACAATAAACGAATCGAATACGAATCGATTGTAAGATTCGAATAATATTCGAATACGAATATTCGTCAATTTATACGAATACGAATAATATTACTCACTATTCGATTCGATTCAATTCGTTTACAACCCTAACTATGTATGACAAGATCCTGATAGTTAGCTATGGTTATGCTATGCTAAAGGTAACTGTACAAATGAGATCCTAATATTTAGGCTACAGTTATGCTAAAGGTAAGTGTACAAATAATATTAAATACAAGATTATATACGTAAATGAATATAATAAAATATGTGTAATGTATTATGTGTTAATACATAGTTTAGACTTCAACGTTAATTGCAGGTATAAACTAAATTTAACATACTTCTATGTTGTACACCATAGTCATAAACAATCAATATATAAAGGATAAATCACAATTTATTGGTTTAGAACTTTTATCAAACACCTAATGGGCATAGAAGTTCATCTCTAGCCTTAGCTAAAAATTTAGCCTCTAATGCTCATATTAATTACAAAAGTGTAACTAAGAACAATTAAATACAATAACATATAAGAAAAATTGCCTAGAACCAATTGTAGAGGAAAGAAATGACTTCTTCTCCAAAGAACTTGAATAACAATACCAAGAATAAAATATAAAAACTAGGAATTAATCTATGGAATGGAATGAATTTGCATGATGAATTGAGGGGTTTATATAGGCTAAAGAATGACATCTTTTAGTCTATTCCAACCCAACAATCAGGTATGGAAGCAATATTTGATTAGCATTTAGGAAGATGAAGTTTTCCCATCAAAAATCGTCTTGCACGTTGCTGTGCTTTTTGCAGAATCCGACCAACCGGCGTCGGTTCTGGCCTGACCGGCGCCGGTCATGTATTTTTTTCCGGGAATTAAGAACCAACCGGCGCCGGTTGGGGTGTGTCCGGCGCCGGTTACTGCGCCAAAAATGTTTACTTGCTTTTCTTCTCAACTTCGTGCCTCCGATTTATCCAGAAGTGCTGATTTTTAATCCCCTTTGACTTTTGATCCCGTATTTGTCGCTCCTAGCCATATTCCACATTTTTGCATACTTTGGAATATTTACCTGTTTTTGTTGTATATTTTTGTACAGATAAGTATAATTACCTATGTAAAAACATAAGTAATTATTGTGCTTATCAAAAATTCCCCCACAATTGAGCGTTGCTAATCCTCGAGCAATTTCTTCAGTCTTGGATGCCTTGGTTAGTTCGACAAAAATATATGCACAAAAATATTTTCAATTTTAAGAGAGGTAAAAAAAAGTATATAACTCTTTTATCATTCTCGGTCCAAAACCCCAATTTTTTCTTCTATTACACACACAAAAATATCATTAGGAACCCCAAATCTTGAAAAAGAACATCTTCTCAAGATTTGGGGTTCCTAGGAGTATCATTAGTGATAATGGTACTCATTTCAAAAATGCTCATTTTACCGACCTCTTAAAAAAGTATGGATGCATGTTTAAGACCGGAGCCACTTACCATCCTCAAACTAATGGTAAAGTGGAGATTTCCAACCGGGAGATAAAATCCATTCTTGAGAAGACGGTCAACTCTTCTAGGAAAGATTGGTCACTAAAGCTTGATGATGCCTTATGGGCATACCGAACGGCCTACAAAACTCCACTCGGTATGTCCCCTTTTCGGCTCGTTTATGGAAAACCATGTCACCTCCCTGTGGAGCTTGAGCACAAATCTCATTGGGCTATTTCCCAATTAAATCTTGATAACACTCTTGGGAGAGAAAAGAGGATGCTTCAAATCAATGAGCTAGAAGAGCTCCGAAAAGACGCATATGAGAACTCCTGCATCTACAAAGAGAAGGCCAAAGCTTGGCACGACAAAAACATAAATCGGAGGGAATTCTACGTCGGACAAAAGGTATTACTTTTCAACACAAGACTCCGTCTATTTCCTGGAAAGCTCAAATCCCGATGGTCGGGGCCTTACACGATCACCGAGGTCCGACCATACGGGTCAATGATGATTCAAGATGGTGATCAAGCACCATTCCTTGTAAATGGTCACCGTCTCAAGCCATATATGGAGTACCACATCACTCCGGCAATCACTGCATGCCAATTGGAAGAATAAAAGTATGTTGCGTGCAGCCTATGACGTTAAACTGAGCGCTAATTGCGAGGCAACCCAACAACAAAAATCAATTATAAATAAATCTATTTATAAACATTCACATTTATTTATAATTGAAACAAAAAAAATTAAATTTTCAAACGACCGGCGCCGGTCGGGCCATATAACCGGCGCCGTATGTTTCCAGAGAGTTTAGGGTGTTGGCGTTCACGCGTAACCGGCTCCGGACACACCCCAACCGGCGCCGGTCGGTCCGGCTAAAATCCTCCCCGCCGGATAAGGTGTGTGTCACTAGCTCGTGGCAAGATGCTGGAGCCAAGAAGGTACACGATTAGTCTTTCCCGAACATTTAGGGTCTTGGCCCTAAGGTTTTCATTGACGCCGAACAGTTGCATTGCCCTTATTTCATCATAGTCGAGGTCACTTAGCACAACCTGAGAGTTCATGGAAAAGGGAGTACCTACGTCAACGATGTTGAGTAGGTTGCACAGCCGGCGTTCGCTCACCGTGATTGTTGTGCCTTTGACGGTGCTTACAATGTCGCCGTAGGGATCATTCTTCCTTTCAATGTTTGCGTAGAATTCCCGCACAAGCCGCGGGTAGTATGCTCCAGTTAGAGTGAGCATGATAGCCCACCCTAGAACGTCAAACGCCTCTGAAATCCGGTAGAGTTCGTTGAGTTGGGGTTGGGGGTCCACAATTTTCTCAATGACAATTTTCCACTTCTTTCTCGTCTCGTACCACGCTTCATTCTCCGGGGAGGTGAAACGGGGAACGGAAGAAGAAGAAGAACTAGCACCTTTTGCTCGTTTGAGTGCCATGGACCTGCAAAATTAGTTCAACACATACGCAACACGACATATATTCATCAACTCAAGGTAATTTAGGTTTAAAATCCAAGAATTTATCAATTTCCCCAACTTTCATGTTCATACACAAATTTCTTTCAATAATTATGTTTAGAAGACTATATATCAACAATAAATTATATCAATATTCTTCTAAACATCAATTATATAGAGCAATTCATCAATGAACAAGAAATTCGAAATTAGGGTTCTTAGTTTTTTTTAAAAAAAACTTCCCCTAAGTTTGAACTTTAATCTCAAAATTTTTGGCAACAAACAAGTTTATATACATCACATGAGCATATGGGGTCAATTTTCATCAATGATAAACATCTATTTTGCCAAGAATTGAAAGAAAGAATAGATTTCAAAAATTGGAGAAAGTTGGGATGAAAGCCAAAATACCTTGAATTGATGCTCAAATTGGGATGAAGAAGGTTAAGAATTGATGCTTGATGCTTAATCGGAACTCCTAAGGGTGACTTTTGACTTGGGACGGCGATTTTGGGTGGTTTGGGGGTGTTTTCCGGCGAAGAGCTCTCAAGATTTGGGGGAGGGGTTCGAAAATAATGTCTGATGAGCGACCTGGGGAGGATTTTAGCCGGATCGACCGGCGCCGGTTGGGGTGTGTCCGGAGCCGGTTACGCGTGAACGCCAACACCCTAAACTCTCTGGAAACGTACGGCGCCGGTTATATGGCCCGACCGGCGCCGGTCGTTTGAAAATTTAATTTTTTTTGTTTCAATTATAAATAAATGTGAATGTTTATAAATAGATTTATTTATAATTGATTTTTGTTGTTGGGTTGCCTCGCAATTAGCGCTCAGTTTAACGTCATAGGCTGCACGCAACATACCTTTATTCTTCCAATTGGCATGCAGTGATTGCCGGAGTGATGTGGTACTCCATATATGGCTTGAGACGGTGACCATTTACAAGGAATGGTGCTTGATCACCATCTTGAATCATCATTGACCCGTATGGTCGGACCTCGGTGATCGTGTAAGGCCCCGACCATCGGGATTTGAGCTTTCTAGGAAATAGACGGAGTCTTGTGTTGAAAAGTAATACCTTTTGTCCGACGTAGAATTCCCTCCGATTTATGTTTTTGTCGTGTCAAGCTTTGGCCTTCTCTTTGTAGATGCGGGAGTTCTCATATGCGTCTTTTCGGAGCTCTTCTAGCTCATTGATTTGAAGCATCCTCTTTTCTCTCCCAAGAGTGTTATCAAGATTTAATTGGGAAATAGCCCAATGAGATTTGTGCTCAAGCTCCACAGGGAGGTGACATGGTTTTCCATTAACGAGCCGAAAAGGGGACATACCGAGTGGAGTTTTGTAGGCCGTTCGGTATGCCCATAAGGCATCATCAAGCTTTAGTGACCAATCTTTCCTAGAAGAGTTGACCGTCTTCTCAAGAATGGATTTTATCTCCCGGTTGAAAATCTCCACTTTACCATTAGTTTGAGGATGGTAAGTGGCTCCGGTCTTAAACATGCATCCATACTTTTTTAAGAGGTCGGTAAAATGAGCATTTTTGAAATGAGTACCATTATCACTAATGATACTCCTAGGAACCCCAAATCTTGAGAAGATGTTCTTTTTCACAAACTCCACCACCGATTTAGCGGTGTTGTCCGGTAGAGCAATGGCCTCCACCCATTTGGATACATAATCAACTGTAACAAGGATGTATTCTTTGCCATGAGAGTTAGGAAAAGGACCCATGAAGTCTATTCCCCATACATCAAATATTTCCACCACAAGAATCATATTTTGTGGCATTTCATTCATCCGGCTCAAATTTCATGTGCGTTGACAACGGTCACAAGCTAGGACAAAACTTCTTGCATCTTTGAAAAGTGTCGGCCAGAAAAATCAACATTGGAGGATTTTAGCCGCTGTTCGGTCCGGACCATGATGACCTCCACAAGGAAGATTATGACAATGCTCAAGGATTGATAACATCTCTTCATTTGGGACACACCGCCGTATGATTCCATCAGCACAATGCTTGAAAAGATATGGCTCATCCCAATAGTAGTGTTTGACATCATTTAAAAATTTCTTTCTTTGATGAAAAGTGAGCTCTTGGGGAAGAATTTATTTAGCAAGATAATTCACAAAATCTGTGAACCAAGGTAAAGGGACTCCCTTCACCTCCATAAGTTGCTCATAAGGAAAATCATCATGAATTACCTCCATATTAGTAGTGGCATTTGGCTCAAAGTGAGAGAGGTGATCCGCAACAAGATTTTCACTTCCTTTCTTATCCCGGATCTCAAGGTCAAACTCTTGAAGTAATAGCACCCACCGAATTAATCGTGGTTTGGCATCTTTTTTGTTCATAAGGTACCGGATGACGGAGTGATCGGTGTAAACAATCACCTTTTGACCAATGAGATAAGACCGGAATTTGTCAAAGGCATAGATGACGGCTAGGAACTCCTTCTCCGTTGTTGCATAGTTGAGTTCCGCATCATGAAGTAACCTCGATGGATAATATATGGCATGAAGTTTCTTTTCTCTTCTTTGACCAAGCACAACTCCAATGACATGGTCACTAGCATCGCACATCAACTCAAATGGTAGAGACCAATCCGGTAAGATGATTATTGGAGTCGTAGTAAGAGCCTTTTTGAGAGTGTTGAAGGCTAGTAGGCAAGATTTAGAGAAATCAAAAGTGGTATCCTTGGCAAGTAAATCGCAAAGTGGTTTTGCGATTTTTGAGAAATCTTTGATGAATCGCCGGTAAAAACCGGCATGTCCCAAGAAACTTCTAATGGCTTTTACCGAATGAGGAGGTGGCAATTTTTCAATAACCTCCACTTTAGCTTGATCAACTTCAATGCCTTGAGGGGATATATTATGCCCCAAGACAATGCCTTCGGTCACCATAAAGTGGCATTTCTCCCAATTAAGAGCAAGATGGGTTTCTTCATATCGGTTGAACACTTTTTCAAGATTATTTAGGCATATATCAAATGAGTTTCCAAAGACTGAAAAATCATCCATAAATACCTCCATAAAATCTCCCACCATATCCGAAAAAATAGCCATGACGCACCTTTGAAAGGTCCTCGGTGCATTGCAAAGTCCAAACGGCATCCTCCGGTAAGCAAATGTCCCAAAAGGACAAGTAAAGGTGGTTTTCTCTTGATCTTCGGGTGAAATAGCTATTTGAAAATAGTTCGAGAACCCATCCAAGAAGCAATAGAATTCATGATCGGCTACTCTCTCTAGCATCTCATCCATGAATGATAGGGGGGAAATAATCTTTTCTTGTGCCGGCATTCAATTTTTGGTAGTCAATGCACATCCTCCACCCGGTAACCATTCTAGTAGGAATTAATTCATTCTTACTATTGGATATGACGGTGATTCCTCCTTTCTTCGGGACTACTTGCACGGGACTCACATAGTTACTATCGGATATGGGATAGATGATACCATAGTCAAGGAGTTTGAGAACTTCCTCCTTTGATGTTCTACCATTGGTTTGTGATTTTCCTCCATGAGGATCCGATGCATGCATATAGATGTGCTTATACCCTTGATATCCGCCAAAGACCAAGCTATTGATGATGTGTGAGCTCTCAATACCCGGAGTAATTTCTCTTCTTGTAAAGGAGATAGAGTAGAGGAAATTACCACCGGATACATAGAGTCATTGCCAAGGAATGCATATTTGAGATGTACCGGTAGAGGTTTGAGAGTAGGCTTTAGAGGAGTTTGACTTGATGGTTGGAGGATAGACTTCCTTTGCCCAAGATCTTCAAATCTTTGCCGGTAAGGTCTATGAATGGTTTCACCTTGCAAGAACATCATTTGTTGGAAAATTTCAGAATTTTTCTCTTCTTCGGTGTGTCCTAGTGTAAGACATGCTTCAAGAGGATCTTTGTGAAGCTCTCTTTCAAACATCTCCTGAGTTATAGTATCAATGATGTCAATACTAAAACATGAGGAGATATCATGATGTTTCTTTAATGAATCCCAAACATGGAATTCTTGTTCATCTTCTCCCACTCGGAATTTAACAACTCCGTTCTTCACATCAACGAGGGCGGCAGCGGTAGCTAAGAATGATCTTCCAAGAATAATTGGAATTTCCATTTCTTCCATTTCCAAAATGAGAAAATCTACCGGAAAATAGAATTTTCCCACTTTGACTAGAACATCCTCCATAACACCCAATGGATAACGGATTGTTCTATCCGCCAACCGAAGAGCAACCGTTGTAGACTGAAGTTCCCCCACACCAAGCTTTTTAAACAGAGAATGAGGCATAAGATTTATACTTGCTCCGAGATCACAAAGAGATTTTACCTCTCCAATTTTGCCAATAGAACATGGGATGGTGAAGCTTCCGAGATCCTTCAATTTTGGAGGGAGCTTATTTTGAAGGATTGCACTACACTCCTCCGTTAGTGCCACTGTTGCAAATTCCGCTAGTTTCTTCTTGTTTGAGAAAACCACCTTTAGAAATTTGGCATAAGAGGGAATTTCCGCAATAGCCTCTGCGAATGGTATGTTGATGCTTAACTTGGTAAAAATATCAAGAAACTTCTTGTATTGTTTACCATCATCTTCTTCCTCAATCTTTGTGGATATGGGATAGGAGAAACATAATTTGCCATTGTTGGAGATGGTGATATATGTTCCTCCAACTCTTCCTCCTCTTGTGATATTGGTGCATTCTCCGGCGATTTAGGATCCACCGTTTGTTTGCCATTTCTTGTTGTAATGGCCATGACATTTTCTTTTGGGTTGACTTCCGTTGTTGTGGGGAACCGCCCTTGCTCTCTAGTGCTTTTTCCTTTCTAGTGCTTTTTCCTTGGGCAATTTGCCCAATTTGTACCTCCAAGTTGTGAATAGATAACTTGGTGTATTGTTCTATGTTGTCCATGCGTTGTTGAAGTTTCCGATTTTGATCTTCAAATCGGAGGTCAAGCTTTGTGAATTGTGAATGGAGATTCCCAATGGATGCCTCCACTCTACTATGATTCTCCTCATTTTGGGCCTTTACACTAGCCACAACATTTTGAGTGAGGGTTTTCATCATTTCATTCATGGTTTGCCCTTGTGAAAATCCGGACGGGGGGTTAGACGAACCTCCTTGTGGTTTCCAAGAATTACCTTGGTTAAACCTTTGTTGATTGTTGGAATAGTTGTTGCCTCCTTGATTCCCCCTATTCCAATATGAATTCATATAATTCACATCTTCAATAGTTTGAGGTGAATTACCTTCCGGTTGTGATATACTCTCCACATTGGCCCCTCCGATCACGACTTGTAGAACCGTGTGAATTGAAGCTTGAAGATCTTTGTGCATGGCTTGTTGAAAATCAGCAAACCGTTTGTCCAATTCATGAGCTATAGACACTTCACTCACACCGGTCACTTTGATATCTCCTCCTTGTAATTGAGGGTTTGAAGCAATGGATTCGAGGATCCTTAATGCCTCCGTTTCAGTTTTGTTGCCAATATACCCCTCCGAACGGTTATCTACAATGTCTTGGCATGAAGAGTTCAAACCATTGTAGAATGTGTCAATTTGAAGATCAAGGGGAATG